AAATACCCCACTTAACAAATATATTGTCGATTTCATCATTCACTATACATACATCACCCACAGCTAGGAATTCTAGCAAAGGCAATCCATTTGGACTATTTGTCACAGTATTTTGTAGCTGTGTATGACCTGCATCACGAGGAATATTTTTCATATAATCATGCTTAAAGATTTTTGTGACTTTTGTGGCTGCTGTCATTAAATGTTTCAAATTTCGTGATTGTCCACAGCCTTTAATAAAGAAAATAGAATAAAAGTATTTCGAAATTACAATTAAACTCAATCGGACAACTGTTAAATGATAGTGGCTACCAAGGAATTAAAAACTAATTTTTTTGCACGTCAGTTAAAACCTTTCATGTGATAAGACTAAATGATATACATGTATCATTTTCGTCTTCTTTATTCTAATTTATATTTCGACACGCATTATAGCTTGCCGAATGCCAAAAGAAAATGATGAATAACAAAAGGACATTACACATTATACCTGGTGGTCCAATCGTAGTACTATACAACTTTAATGGTTTTGAATTTTAAACATTGATGCATATATCGATGATTGAGCAAAACGTGATAATAAAGGTAACATTCCATAGAAAAGAATATCTTTATTAGCACCAACTCGTTTATAACCATTAAAAATAGACATTTCATTCTGATTCAATATCCATTGTAAATCAAACTTAATTTCTGCACCGGCTTTGATATTTTCTTGTAATATATTTTTGTATTTTTCAGATCACTTCATCGGCGTTCTTTTGTTTTCAACGTATTATAAATAACGTATAAAAGATAAAAGAGCATATAATACTTTATGTATCTGAAAGATAAAAACCAAATAATTAAAACGTGGATCATGATGTTTTGCTAAATGTGCATTGTGAAGAACATTCACTTCTTCTTTGTCAAGTGATTTCTCCTCAATCCTCTCACCGTATCCATTAAACTTCAGTCTCTCTGCGTTAACCTTTCTTATCACTGTTATGTCGCTCTCCCACGTTAGAATGATTCTTCCTTCAGATACTACTAAAACTCTCTAAACATTTCCACGAGATAAACAGAAAAATATACAAAAGAGTTAAAACAACATGACTCCTTAGTTGATGAAGACCACAAGCATTTAAACAAACCATAGAAAAATTAATAGATAGTCTTTTTTGGGCTGGATAATTCATCAATATACGAGTGAATATGCAGCAAAGTGTATCACACAAAGACAATCCTTGTACAGACAATAGACAGAACCGAACAACTTCCACTTCTGCAGAAAAACTGCAAAAGTAAACTTTGACGTTCTGTCATATATCATGTACAACGATTGAAGTTGTGCATGCTTTTAAAGGTCAGTATCACTCTTAACGAGTAGTATACAGCCGACCTCTATTTAAAGGAGGATTTGTACTTCTTTTTACGCCCATAGTGCTGCTATGGTAGATAACTAATAGATAGTCGTTTCTGGGCTAGATAATTCATCAATGTACGAGTGAATATGCAGCAAAGTGTTTATACACTTTGACAGAACGTCAAAGTTTACTTTTACAGTTTTTCTGCAGAAGTGAAATTTGTTCGGTTCTGTCTATTGTCTGTACAAGGATTGTCTTTGTGTGATACACTTTGCTGCATATTCACTCGTATATTGATAGAAAAATTAATTCATATTTTAATGCAGCAAAGACTCTCATCCTTTCCTAACTTTGTTCCCACTTCAAGGTTTCACAAAGAAACATCGCTTGTAGCGAGCAGGTAGTAGAAGAAGTAGAAAGAAGTATGTCGACGTTCGGGTCCCATCGATTCTCAAAACAGTCACGTTTTTAAAGAGCTACTACTATACACATCATCTGCTTTTCGGTTCCCCATTTCATTTACATGGGCAAACAACAGTAAATTTTCTTGGGAAATGAAAGACCTTGAAATATGTTTATAGATAATAACTACTGATATGCATAATGACGAATCTAGAGTGACAGTACAGATGAAAGGAAATAAAGAAATAAGTCAAATTGGTAGAAAAACAGGACGATAACAATCATATTAGCCAGAGAAAAACAAACTACGCACGTCGAATGATTAATCCACATGTTCTGCGCAGCAAAGAATATCATCCCTTTTTTATTCTGTTCTCATTTCAAGATTTGACGCAGAACCATCGGTTGTAGAGAGCAGGTAGAAGAAGAAGTAGGAAGATGTATGTCGAAATTTGGATCCCATCGACCCACGAAGCAACCAAGTTTTTATAGAGCTGGTATTATTCACACATCATCTGCTTTTCGGTTCCCCATTTTATCTACATGAACACACGACAGCATATTTCCATGAGAAATGAAACACATTGAAATATGCACGGAGATAATAACTAAGGATATTGACGTACTGATGATTACGAAGTTAGAGTTGCAATATAGATGAAAAGGAAATAAAGAAATAAATCAAATTGGTGAAAAGACAGCACGGTAACAGTCATATGAGCCAGAGAAAAGCAAACTGCTCATGTCAAGTTTGGGTGTTAATTTAGTGTAACTTTAGAAAATAATTCTGAATTCGTGATTTATATTTAAATAATAAATGTAAATAAATGGATTTTTTTAGTAGCTTGTATTATACACATACCATCTGCTTTTCGGTTCCCCATTTTCTTTACATGGGCAAGCAACAGTACTGATGATTACGAATTTAGAGTGACAGTATAGATGAAAAGGAAATAAAGAAATTTGCCAAAAGACGAAAGACAGGACGATAATAGTCATATCAGCCACAGGAAGAAATGGACTACCCACGTGGAATAATTATTTGAGACGTCTTATGCAGTATA